GAAGATGTAGATTCATACCCTTTCCCAAGGGAATGTGTGTATAAGTGACTATAACAAACCCAACTTGAATTAGAACTCAACTCTCAGATTAACAATTTTAAGCCATTATCCATTACACCACCTATACATCTAAGTTTACAGCACCTGGTATTACCAAGTGGTCACCCATCTGACTTTTAGTGGCTGCCATCCAAGGCTAGAGAACTCAGTTTAACTCATAGCCAGGAAGAGAAGAGATGGAGATCTTGTCTATTGCAAGGATATTAGTGGAGAAGTGAGCCCAGGAGACTAAATTGGAATTTGAAAATGACTTGCTCATTCCATTTCGCGTGTTGATGACTGTTACACCACCATCATGGCAAATACATTAGCAAGGCATTTAACATACAACAGTACCATTCTGTCAGTAACCCTTGTATTATTTGACAATTCTTTTTTCAATGAACAATATACAGATTGAGTGGTTAAACTTAAACAAATTTTACATGAATCTGCAAAATTCTATAGTTAATCAGTTGAGCTTTCTTACTTTGAATATATATATACCACTAACATGAAATTGTTTCTTATTAATATAAACGTTAGTTTTAGGAAGTACTCATGTTTGAGTTGATATCCCTATTTTTTTTTTTTTCTTAAAAAGTGAAATATCAACTGGCCTAGATCAAGAAGTTCTACTAAAGGAAAATGTGACTCCTGGCAGAAAATGAATCTGTATCCTCTTTACCCTGTCAGTAAGACCACTCCTATGGCTGAAGTGTGTCGTTAACAATTTGGGGGAATTTATTTTTAAAAAAATAGAATAAAATTATACAGTATTTTTTTTTTACCATATCTCTTCAGGACGTAGATGATCATGTTTCTTTATTATCTGTGAATTGTCATGAATTCTTGATTTCTTAGGAAAGATGCTTTGACCACATTAGTATTCTTTCTGTTATACTGGCTGCCACCAAAGGCCAGCGAGTTCAGTTGAACCGGTTATTTAACTCATAGCTGGGATGAGAAGAGATAGAGATCATAGCTAGTACAGGGGCATTAATGGAGAAACAGAAATTTGAACATGGCTTGCTGATTTCATTTCCCATGCTGATGACCATTACACTGCCATGATGGCAAATACATTAGCAAAGCATTTAACATACAACAGTGCCATTCTGTCTGTAACCCTTGTATTATTTGATTGTCATAGCATAAATTAGGCTATGGTTGTATATTCAGAGAACATTGTAAGTATCTATATCAATCTGAATGGATTCCAAGGCCATTTTCACCTTTGTTTAAGTTTAAAATATTAAAGACATTAAAGTACAGAAATTCTGGTCGACTTCTTTAGAATGATGAAAATGATGTTTAGCTTTGAGTAACAGAGAAATGCAGATAAAATACCAGCTACAATTAAAATGGTTGGTTACAAAATAATCATATTTTGATATATCATAGCTAGAATAATTTTGTTATGATATCATTTGCATTATTACACAAAAATACTAAATTTAGCAGTAAAAATATCCAAGAAAACCAATTTGTTTTATAGACTATTCTAATGATAAGTAAAGACACCTGATAATTCAGTTAATCTTTACTTTGGGTAGACTTATAGATACATCTGAAAGAGTGAAATGAAGAAAAACAAAACAGTTGACTTCAAATTGTTAGTAAGTTATTTCTGAAGTGATAAAACTAAATAATTAGAATTTCTAAAAAGAAAATATACTTAGCTTTAAGGAGTCCAATTTTGTAAGTATTCCAAATAAAACAAACTGAAAAGCCCCACTAACATTAAAATGCAAAGAATATAAAAAAAAATTAGATAATGTTACTAATCATTTTGTTTCTTTTGAGCTGTAATTTATTTTAATCACTAGAAATAATTTGCATCTGTTTTGTTTGGGGAGATCTGACCATTTATTATTATTACTCTATTTTTGTTACAAAGCAAAGCAAAAGTTGTCCAGGCTTTCAATTCCTACCTGAATAAAACAAAACAAAGTTCAATACAGAAACTATTAAATTTTGTAGCTGCTTTTATTTTACTCCTAAATCATTTTTATTGTTTGCTGATAACACTTTGGCTTCTTCATGGCAGAAAATAGAATAGGAAAATAAAATTTATCTGGAAAATTGCCTGATCAAACAGAAAATGGATTTAAAACAAGAGGGAATATTAAATTCTACTTTTAATCATGTGAGAATAGTACCAAATGAAAATTCTCTGACCTGTAAATGTAGAGCTTTAACATTGGATAAAACATTCATGATATTTAAGGTTCTTTTATCATATTTCCTATCAAAACCTCCAACTTCAAAAAAAGTAAATATCTCTGGATGACACAAAAATGAGGATAGGCCAAAAGATTAATGTATGTAAATCTTGCGATGGGTAAATTGTCGGCAGCATTTTATATTTTTAATTTGCTACATGTGTGTTGTTTTTTTTTAAAATTTTTTTGACTGTACAGTATAGTAGGATCAGTTGGGCACTATGTGAAAAAGAGTACCATGATGCAATTTACTCCACCAGAAATTTGGAAACAGTATGTTGTACTGTTTAACATTTATACTGGAAGCTCCTATACAAACATTTCAGAGTGTTTGGGTGTCAATCTGAGGACAGTGCAGAGGATTTGAAAAGAGTTGGATGAGTCTAATGGTGATTATGAAGGTACAGCAGCTCAGAAAACTCACTCTGATCATTTTGATAAGAAAAGAACTCCTGAATTTGTTGGTGAAGGCTCTACAGAGGCCTACATCAAGTGTCTTGGGTCAAGAGGGTGGCTGATGGCAGACCCTATGGCTGGCAAAAGGACGCAAGCAGGAGAACCCAGTCATGGCTGTCAGACAATTTCTATGACTACATCACCTCTTACATCTGGCCACCTAACTCCCCAGACTGAAACCCCCTTGATTATTATGTTTGGGGGACACAGTTAAGTGAGAGAACAACAAAACAACAAAACTCCTTGCAATAACAAAGGTGAAATGAAGGCAAGAATTATAGCAGCATTTAATAACTTAGACAAAGAGATTATTCAGAAGAGTTTCAGGAGATTCCAAAGTTGTTTGGTGGCCTTGGTTGAAGCCAATGGTGATTTTATTGAATAAATTTACCCTATAGTATTTCAAGATATTTTTGTGTAATTTTGGTAAATACATCTGTTAAAATGACATGTCAGCGTTATTTTCATTTTTGCATAATTTATACAACAATTTATTAATTGCACTCTGTATGTTAGGCATTTTCAAAGTTTATAATAAGTGTAAGAATTTGCATTTTTACAGTTATTACTAACTAAGTTATTGTTATAAGAGAGAGAAGATACTAAAGAATAGTAAATTTGCACTAAAACCTTTATAGTAAAACAGCTGTGGAAATCTCTTTACAATGTAATATTATAGTTTCCATTTGATTTTTAATTGTTAAAAAAGACATATGAAGTGGTATTTAAGGTAATAGGGACTCAGAATATTTGGTGTTTTGGGATGATAAACTTAAGTGATAGAAACTATGTTAGGATTTAATTCAGTAATTAATCTCATTTGTAATTATGAACAGATGAACATAAATGATCGAAAAGTGGGATTTTACTACTGCCTTTTTATACTAAATTTCATCCAATACAAGGCACAAGAGCCACTTAAAGTAGAGGGTTAATGTCAAAATGGTAATAATGAAGTTGGTGTGTATAGAAGAGAAAGTAATGGGAAGTGACAATTATAAAGATGAAGAGGAAAAATGATGATTCACCCTTGACTTGAAGAGATCAAGTTTGATGTATCCAGGGAAGCATCTAAGTAGGAAGCTGTTTTACAAGGTGGCAGTCCATAGGAAAGAGCTAAGTGGAACACAGAGGAAATGAGGTTGATTTGACTCTATCGAATTGGTATGGTAAGTCTTAGCTCTAATGGTCTGAATTGTTGGGACAAAAGAATGCAGCTCTTCTGAACATGTTTCATGAAAATAATGATAGAGTAGTAACTAACTTGTAATGTTTCATCTGTTGGAAATAAATGTACCAAGACAGAAAGTGAAGATTGGGCAGATAAGTCTGCAATACTCCATTTTTGTTCTAATTTTTGTAACAATAAAACATGACAGAAGTCAAATGCTTCCATGGAATGATAGAGATGTCTTCTATTTTAACTGAAAATCTTCAATTTATTTTATATGAAAGCATTAAGATAAAGTTTCATATTTTATAATTATAAATGTATTATGTTAAGTGTTTGTAATATAATCAACAACCAAATATTGCAATCAGTTTATTTTGTATAAAAAATAAAATTATTTTTTTTTAATCTGCTCCAGTTAATATCTGTTGTTTCTGATTATACTAATTCAGGAAAAAATCATGTTTGTTTTTGTTATTTTTTAGACAAAAAGTAATTTCCATATTTATAAATAACGATGAGATTCATTAAAAAGTTATGAAGAAAATATTGATGAAAGAATAATTCTGCCAGTAACATTTGATAAACTACAAGAGAAATTTCATTTCAAATTTTATGTTATTTTTTTTCAACAGAAAATAATTGATTGGGATTCAGTGCAAAGTCATTTAAAGATTATTTCTTAGATTTTATGATCAACTAAACATTCATCTTATTTTCTTTATTTGACTTACCAAATGATCTTTCTTTTTAAATGATACTATTTTCCCTTTGTGGCAAGAATAATCTTTAGATTATTATATATGAAAAAAAATTAATCTGAACTTCTTAAAGTATAGAATATAAGAATAGGAAACAAGACAAAGAGCTGTCTTAACTTATAAGTAGAATACAACAGGTTATAAAGCATTCAAATATCATCAGAGGAAATCTTTGGATCCATTGCTTCAAAAACTAGTTCCTGAAATAGAGATGAATGGCTTACATCTGTCTTTCATATGATTATATTTGTTCAGATCTCTTCCAATATATATTTTTGGTTAGCTGTCCATATTTTTAAATAAGGATTCTACTGGCTCTTTGCCAATGAAGACTTACAGTGACATGATGTTGAAACACTGGTTCCCATACGATCACTGAAGTTAAGCAACATTGAACCTGGTCAATACCTAGATAGGTGACTACTTGGAATACCATGTGCTATAAGCCTGGATGTGTGGGTGATGTAATAGATCATAATTGTTATTTTGGAGAACCGATTTCCAATTCCCATTGGGTTCATTATGTGAAAATACCCTTCAAAAAGGTGTGAATCCATTTCTTCTCCCCCCAGCTATAAGTTAATTAGTAATACTTATATCACTAAACCATTATTACCCGACCCACCAAAATTTTTACAATCTAAAAATATTCTCTGACTTTAAGTAACCTGTAAATTGTTGATAACCTGTAGAAAATGAATCAATATCAATAAGTAGTAATTCATTTCCCATAAACAACATCCATTTTCCTTTTGTTCCTTTGTATATTCTCTAGGATTTAAATTTTACATTCTTTCTATAAAGATCTCCAATAAAAATTAGAGTGCATGTATATATATATATATATATGTATATATATATATGGGAGAGAGAGAGAATTGAAAGATTATTAATTATATTAAAAGACTAAGAACCAATCTAAAAATGTGTTTAGTTTATTGTTAGAAATAAAATGTATCCCAAAGGACTTAAATTATATGTCATAAGTCATATTCTTTCAGGACAGGAAATTGCATTTACAATGTTCTATTTATAACCCAATGCTCTAATCTGCATGTCATACTCTGAGTTACTAAGATTAAAACTTCCATCTCCTTTCCTTTCTTATTTGCAATTAGTTTCAAGATTGAATCATTTTCCTCAAAAACATATTTGATTTTTGCTTATTTAACATTAACAACTAATCTTTTTAGATTAAAATAAAAACAAAACACAAAATGGTTTTTACTTTGTGACCTTAGGTCAATTTTTCCTATAAACACAAATTTGTGGATAATACTTCTATTATTAGGAAATATGGAAAATTTCTCCAAAATAATCTGATCATATACAATAAATTTATGAACATTCAGTACAGAAGAAATTTCTAATTTAGAATAGGATGAATGTGCAATCATATTCTTTTCAGAAAAATATCAAGTTGCTCATAGAAGACAAAATTAAAATTTGTGAATTAAGTGAAATTCTTAAAATCCTTCATCTGGCAAATTTCAGATTTCTTTGGTTGCAATAATGAGTATTTCTTTGTTTTGGGTTTCATTCAGTGAAAAAGACAAAAATAGAAATCTTAAAGACTGAAATAAATAAAATTTCCAAATTTTCTCCTTTTGTTGTTTGACTACAATCATCATTCCATGTATCTGGGTACTCATGATTTTTCTTCTCTCTGATTGGTTGTTCTTGATAGCTAATTTAGGTAGAGAAAAAGGATATACTTTATATTTTATTGCAATAGATAACCAAGTTAAACAAATTGATTAGGTAATTATTCAAGGTCAGTGACTGAACAAGAAATGATTAGAATCAGTCAGTATATTAAGCAATAAGAATCTTCAATATTTATGATTTTGTGGTTAAACATTGGTAAAGCAAAAAGGCTGTGAATGGAAAGCCTGATTTAATTTATTAAATGCACAATTGTTTACTGCAAGGACACATCATGTTACCTCCATGGAATCAAAACAACCTTATTTCCTTAGGATTCTATTCTGAGAACTTTTTCCTCACCAAGAACTTCTACTTGTGGAACAGATTCCCATACTGATGCTTTCCTAAACACTACAATCCTAACCTCTCTAATCAAGTATTTACTTGATCATAATTTTCAACCAGTTTATAACACACCATACCACTTCCACAGAGTCTAATCACCCATATTTCCTTTGTGTTTCAAAGATAAGAAGTGCTCTTTTATGGAACAGACTTCCACGTGGTTGCTTTTCTGAACATTACAATATTAACCTCTCCAAGTCAAGAGTCAATCATTATCTATCTTCTTTATCTTCATAATCTTCACTTCTTATCACCTCTTTCACTTATATCACACCTTATTCATCATTACCATTTTAACAATAATCCTCTACCTTGAATAGTTCTCGAGCCTTGTATTTTGTGAACTTTAGTATAAAAAATTATAAGTAAATAAATAAAACCCAATGCGAGGAAGTGAAGTTGAACAATAATGAAAACAATATATGTAAAAGTAAAGAGCAGTAAGAAAAGGATGGGTTTGGTTAGATTATGTTTAAAGTTATGTCAACCCTGATGGGCCACTTTACGCCAACCAAGCATAAAAAAGATAAAAGGAAATTTAAAGTAAATTAATAAAGAGGTATGGACTGATCAATTCAACCATCCACAAATAAATGAGTTTTTAAATGCCATTTTAGATAAAATATATTTATAGCTGTTTAACTGAAGGAAGTTTTACTCATTTAAAAACTGTGCTTATTCAATTGAAGACAGTTTTATAAGTTAGTTTCAATAAAACTTGACAGCTTAGTGTACTCCAATAAAGCTTTCAAGATTCTAGATAAAGACTTTCTAGGAGAAGTCACCACAGTTTATTGGCTTTGATAGGCAATCTCAGTGGAGAGTATTGCAGTTTGGTAAGTTGTTTAACCTTTTATAGCTGAACAAAAAAACAACATCACATTAGATTCTTCCTCATCTGCTGAAATGGTCAAAGGAACCAATTTACCTAAAAGTCCTTTCTATATATCTGATACAGTGAGAAATTTAATAGGCAAATATATCTCTTCCCAACCAAGAGACTTAATTTTGTTTGCTAATATTGTCAAAATATATTTTCATGAAATTTTATTCTGAAAGAATGTTAGAAAATGTGTAAAAAAATCTAGTAAAATGACTTTAACTCTTTCCATACTGAATTTACTACTAAATTGTACCAGTTTTAAATTCACCCAGTTCCACTATATATGTTTGTATAGGATTAGCACCAAGCTATAGGGTAGAGGCATTTTTGCTCATGAATATCCAGTTTTATTCTTCAAGATAATCCTGGTGATAAATTGGCCCACAATATCTATTACATGTGCTCTGCTTACTGCCTGTGCTCTTGAAGTCCATGTCAGGGGAACTAAATTCTCTCTTACTTCAAATTTATTATCAGAGTTGAGTATGATCTGGAAGTTTTGGAAATATGATCACATTGATAAAAAAATGACAAAATAAATCACTAATGTCAATGTATATTGATATTATTACAGAAGCCAGCATGTTTGGGTTGATTTAATTTATACTCCTCTATGGTATTATTAGAATCACTTGTGAACAGACATGTTTAACTGGTCTATCTTGAAAGGGTTAAAGCAAAATTAAATAGCAAAGATGTAAATTATCAAATTGTGTTTTATAGCTCCTTTACTGAAGCTCTGGTGATGTTATGCTATTTGACATGAATATTTACTGAAGCTCTGGTGATGTTATGCTATTTGACATGAATATTTACTGAAGCTCAGGTGATGTTATGCTATTTGACATGAATATTTACTGAAGCTCTGGTAATGTTATGCTATTTGACATGAATATTTACTGAAGCTCTGGTAATGTTTTGCTATTTGACATGAATATTTACTGAAGCTCTGGTAATGTTTTCTATTTAACATGAATATTTACTGAAGTTCTGGTAATGTTTTGCTATATGACATGAATATTTACTGAAGTTCTGGTGATATTATGCTATTTGACATGAATATTTACTGAAGCTCTGGTGATGTTTTGCTATTTGACATGAATATTTACTGAAGTTCTGGTGATGTTTTGCTATTTGACATGAATATTTACTGAAGCTCTGGTGATGTTTTGCTATTTGACATGAATATTTACTGAAGCTCTGGTAATGTTTTGCTATTTGACATGAATATTTACTGAAGCTCTGGTGATGTTTTGCTATTTGACATGAATATTTACTGAAGCTCTGGTGTTGTTTTGCTATTTGACATGAATATTTACTGAAGCTCTGGTGATGTTATGCTATTTGTCATGAATATTTACTGAAGCTCTGGTAATGTTTTCTATTTAACATGAATATTTACTGAAGTTCTGGTAATGTTTTGCTATATGACATGAATATTTACTGAAGTTCTGGTGATATTATGCTATTTGACATGAATATTTACTGAAGCTCTGGTGATGTTTTGCTATTTGACATGAATATTTACTGAAGTTCTGGTGATGTTTTGCTATTTGACATGAATATTTACTGAAGCTCTGGTGATGTTATGCTATTTGTCATGAATATTTACTGAAGCTCTGGTAATGTTTTGCTATTTGACATGAATATTTACTGACGCTCTCGTAATGTTTTGCTATTTGACATGAATATTTACTGAAGCTCTGGTGATGTTATGCTATTTGACATGAATATTTACATGTTATTATCCTTTCAGAGCATTTTATAGATTGTCACTATGTCTAGTTGTGCAATTTGATTGTGATACATAAGTAAAACATTTTAATGTTTTAAAATAATGTATCTAGAATGTTTTTGATAATCTTTCTGCAAGTCAAAAAGTCTAAATATATAAACCTTCAAGTTATTTGTGATAAATTTTTGGAGGATTATGTCTATTAATACACAGACACAAAAATAATAATGTATTATTGACATTTTTTTCTTTTTGCTACATACATAAGTAATCTGAAGTTTGAGATCATGCAATAGTTTTTTTTCTCTAGTTAGAATATTTGGTTATTTTAGGCTCATTTTAAAGTCTGGTCATATTTTTATTTCAAGATTGGTACAAGGTAATCTAACTCACCCCCACTATCCAATACATTATTGTGTTTGTCAAATCAGCTATAAACAAGCAAAACAGCCATATATTTTTAAATGTTTTATCTTTATCAAGAATTTACTATAAACAAGCAGAACAGCCATATATTTTTAAATGTTTTATCTTTATTTGTTTTCATTTCTAATTTTTGTTTTTTTTTACCAATTTTTACAGAAAAAGAAAAAAGACGGTGTTTTGAAACATGGAGCAGTCATTGAATCAACTGAAGTCTAAAGAATCATTTTTAATGAAAATTTTTGACAAACTTTGATGATGACCAACAATAACTTAATTGCATGAGAAATTAGTTTTTATATCAGTTGTAACAGTTATTTTCCAAAAATACTAATTACAATTTTCAAAATA